GGATTCTATTTGCTCAGAATATAGAGCCCATATTCCCTCAGTTTCCAACAAAATTTTGTGAATTGTATTTTAAGGGCTAGAGGTGTTGTTCGCTGAGCTCTAAGAATCCATTAGCCACAGTTGTCCATAGGTGGTTCCCAAACCGTCTTGTACATCTGGCTTCCCAACTGACTTTAACTTCCACAATCAGGGAGTTACCCATCGTTGATAATGGCTGATCCATATACACGGTAACGATATAGTTTAGGAGAATGGGAGGCTCGTAGTGGGCTACTCGGAATCACCTCACCTGTGACAGAATTAGTCGATTAGCTCTTGCTAGAAACTTAAGTATGCTGGCCTCCACATCTTCGGATTCTACTGGACTCATTGGCTGCTTTCAGAGTCCGACGTCCGTCCGTCCGTCCGTCCGTCCGTTCAGCGCGTGCTGCGACGGCGGTCGCTAGAGTAGTGCTGACAGCGCTGGCACGTGATCCAGTGTTGTCAACAACGGTCAGGCGCCGCCGTCGCAGCACACGCTGAACGGACGGACGGACGGACGGACGGACGGACGTTCAAGTCTGGAACTAGCCATTGAGGCCTCCTTGTTGGCGTCAAAGGGACGGTAGTAAGCAAGACAACTCGTACCTCCCAACGAATGAGTTGAAAACTCGCCCTCAGCTCGAGTACAACAGACTAGAAATGAGACTATCTACGATATTATATTGAACTGTATATCCAACGAAAGATGGTTCATATCTCTGAACTGTAAGTAAGTGAGGAGTGTAGTAGAATGATTGGGACGTGAAGGAAACGTAGTGGAAGAATCGCAAGGATCTCCCACTACGTGCTTAAGATCTCTCATCCTCGCATTAAACTTCGTTTCTTCTGCATAGTAATATGAAAAAGTCGGAGCCATATTTCGGGAGAGGTTGTCTGTGTGCAAGGATCTGTGCTCATAAGTACGGTCCCGGTTTTTCCCGAGTCCTCTCAGAGAACTAGAGCATTTACGCCTTTATCAGGCGACGCGCTGTCTTAACGGGATGTATAAAGAGGAGCTGAAAAAAGATAGTTTGGCTTTACCTCTGACGACCTTACAATTAGCACCTATGGTTATATTTATGGTTTCCTGAGAGCCAAATACGACCTCTCGTCGCGTATTCTGTTGTACGCACCTCACCTTTATTCATACTTAGCTAATACAAATACTGATAAGGGCAATACCTCTTGTTTGTGACAATGTCGCTTAGTTTGAGAGCAGATGACGAAAACAACAGTCTCTCGATTAGAACATGATCGAGCCACAACTGAAAAGTTGTTCCCATCCAACAAACGCGCTCCATTCAGAAAATACGTGACGCATGTGCGGGAAAAGGTTCGTTCTCATGCAAGCTGCATCGAAATTCCCACGAATATAGGGGAACCATTCGGTTGCACATGTGTGTGGGGTTATTTTTGTTCAAATTCATTTATTGGTGTTATATGAAATACTTTGGCTTATAACAAGGACGAGATCTTTGTCTGATGGGCCCAGCAGCCTTGGGATGGACCCTCCAAGGCTGCACACAGTTAAGGATCAATGACAGGCTCTCCATACGTCGTATTCTGAGTCATTTGAAGGAGATTTTGTTTTTTGAAGTTCGGGACATGTTACTACCGCGTTAAGTAGCAGTAAAGATAGCTAGGTACCCAGTGTATCGTAGGCATTATCTTATCGTGGTCATCATTAACTTGTTAGGTCGAAACTTTTTCATAAAGTTATGATTTCGTTATCTTTTTTCAACTGATGTGCTTTAACCGTAGCTATACCAGGCACATAATGACTGCCGAGGATGGAGCCACCTCTGGCGTTCTGGCCACTTGCGAGCATAGGGCCAAGAAGAGCCTATTCAAAGCCAAGGTATCCTCTCCTATAATCTGTTCAGAGGAGTGCATATTAAGAGATTTGGTCGTTCTTGAAGCAGGTAAATGAAGTGTTTTTGAAGGAAGTTCGGAAAAAGCTCAAATCTTGCAAGCGGCTGTGTGAAGAATGTGAACGAAATCCTAAAAATGGAACCATTCCAGAAAATGTTAAAGTGAGTTTATAGGTGTGTCAGAAGTTACTCTGTTTAATATTTAATTTCTTCCTACTAGCCTGAGGAAATATTTTAGGCAGAGGTGTTCATTTGTGTTTCATGCGGTTGTCTTACCTGTGCTACTCATGCTAAGAAACACTGTGAGGCTCCTCGTACTGGAGAGAAACATCCTCTTTTACTTAATCTCGAAAGCTGCCAAATTAGGTATCACCTTCTTCTTTCATCCTGTTATATAGAAATGTAACAGATGTTTATAGTATCTTTGTTTTTATGGGTTTGCCCTTGAGCCAGCTCTGGTAGAGCCCTTCTTAATAGGAAATGCTTTTGATTGATAAGCAAACGGATTTGGGGATTGCTGCTTTACTGGGATTGTTTTGTTATATGACTTCCCTTCTCTTAATTATATTGAAATCAGTGAAAGAGGATAGAAGAACCTGTGTTAATAGGACCATTTAGGAACCTCTTATTGGGAAAGAAAAAAAACTTTCTGCTTAAAAGTTGCACCCCAATTTGGTCTGTCTGCTTTCAGCTAGTTCTGCTACGTGTGTGAAGACAACATCTGGGCAGAGTTCGATAAGATTCGATTCGCCCTTCTGTAAAAGTGGCAGTGCCTTTAGTCATTACGCCACCTCCATCATATTTGCTTAACCAGTATGCTTTCCGAACCACGTTATCTACAGAAACTAGCATGATACGGACGGGTAGCGATTCTTCTAGGCGTTTCAGTCACTATTAATATAGGGGCCCATTTGGTAATTTTTGGTCCTCTAAAAATATTCCTTTTCGACAATGTTTTTTTCGTGGAGAGGCATAATTATGAAATCCCTTTAAAAGACTGGATTTTATGCCTCTAAAAAGCAATGGGACTCACTTCCATCTAATGTTTTCTCCCGTGAAAAATTATTTTTTTGCGACTTCATTACTTATGTGACTTAGTTCATTAGAATGAAAAGAGATTTTTGATCCTAGCTGTAAATCTTTTTTAAGGTGTGAGGCCTGTGACCTGATACTCGCCCCTATGGATGCCCCTCAAGATCTCGTTAGATTGTTTTGTAATGAATATAGGTAAGGTTTGTTTCTTTAGCAGAAATATGGACACTATCCATTTTGTTAAGATCATTCGTAAAAACCAAAGCTGAACCAAAAACAAATGGGAAGGCGGTGGACGCCAAATTATCTCCTGATGAACTCGAGCAGGACTTGAAGGTAGTTAGGCTGATTTTGTTCCTCCGGGGGCCATGATTTCTCTTTTTCATCTTTTTCATTTTCAGCATACTCGTTCTACTCAAGACAGTACTAACGTACCACTCACTAATTCGAAGAAAGCTGACTCTAAAGACCTTGAAAGAAAGCGTGGAACTTTCTCTACTGAGTATATGATTCCGGCAAAGGTATTTATTTTGAAAAAGCTGATGTAGAATGTGTCGAGATATTCTTTGCTTCCGTGTCGAGCTTATCGGACGATTTTGGACTGAACGACTCGCTCCTCCACTTGCTTAATCTACTATTTTAGGGCCTTGTAAACTTGGGGAATACTTGCTTTTTCAATAGTGTTATGCAGTGTATGATGCACACTCATCACCTCACCTACTATTTTCTACGATTTGGTAAAGTTTCTTCTCTACAATTCCGAGAGCCGCAAACAGTCATCGTAAATGAAGAGAAAGTCGAACTCGAGGTAATTATAATCCTATTTCCCAATATTATTTTATTCGATTTGAGCGATTCGACTTGCGAATTTCCAGCCAGCCACTATAAGTGTTCCTTCCGAAGCCACGCCACTGAATTCAGTGCTTCGTGGGTTTATTGCTGAATTTCACTGTGGCGCTACTCCTTCTCCTGGCCCAGTGTTTTCGCAAATATCGTGCAAAACCCCTCGTTTCAAAGGGTATCAACAGCAAGATGCACACGAACTTCTCAGGTGCTCACATTTTATTTGTCATAGTTTCTGTTTCTTTGCTTCCCACCTGGTTTGCGCTTTTTCAATGAATCGAGCCCATACAGGTATTTGTTGGACGGTTTACGGAGTGAAGAATTGGAGCGGTACAAAAGCGGCATCTCGTCCTACTTCGGGGTCTCTCCAAAGGTCAATAAAAAACTCATTGACCCGGAGACGGTCAAACTTGCAAAAGGTTTGGTTTTGGAAATGCTTCGTCCATTACGATTGCCTCTTGATGTTTATCCATTTCAAATGGTGATGATTATATAGATGATTTTATTGTTCTCAGGCTATCTTCAAGCTGCTGGACGTCCTCTTCTGGACATGGTGTTTGGTGGCACACTACTTCAAACGATTCTTTGCTCTGAATGTGGTCATGTAAGCGAACGTCATGAGCAGGTGAGATGAGTTCGTTTCTCTTGCAATAACAAAATAGTCTCTATTTCCTTTTCTCCTCCGTGTTTCTCTTTGCCTTTGAAGTCATTTTCGCCCTTGATTTCTGTCCTAACCAGTTTTCGATGAGGTTTTTATGAACTGATGAATTCGAGTTGGTGTTTTTGATGCCATTTGCTGTTTCGATGGTATTCAGTAAGTTTCTCGCCTTAATAATTCTGTCGCTGTTGGATATCTGAAGATCTTGTTCGTCTTTCTGGTCTTTGCCATTCCTTATTCATGAAAGGACGGGGTTTCGTGACATCCTCATACGACGATTAGCCTACAATTTGTTATTTACCTTAATCATTTTCAATTTTTAGTAACTGCAACCTTAGTTTTCTTTTAGTTTTTGGACTTATCTATACCAGTGACGCTGAATGGTTTCGGACGTTTTCGGCCAAGCCGTTCAGCAGTTCCGATTACTGAAGGCCGCAAAGGAAAGAAGGTGTGAAAATTTAGGCGATTAGCCGTTTCCCATTCACTTGCCTAGTTTTTCTCTATTTATGTACATAGCTAATGCAATGGCTTTTCAGAGGAGTCGTCAAGGAAAGCGGATAATGTCAGGGAAAAACGGCGACATCCGCGAAGGTATCAGATATCTTTGTTATTATTTGACTTGTCGAAAAAACCATTCGTGTTTATGAGAACAAGAAAATAGAATCCCTTTTCTGGAGATACTTTCCTTGGGATGAATTATATATCGGTTACACGCTCTTTGCTCTACTGAGTTGTTTCTAGAAGAAGGTTATGTTACGAAATTAACCGCAAGACATCCAATTTTCAAAGCATATTGGTGTAATTGTTGCTACTTTGTTCGATGAGAAAGTGTTATCTAAAAATGTAAAACAGGGCGTATTTCGTGAGAGTTTCCCTTTAGAAAAGTACTGTTTGATGAACAAAAACTAGTAAGCTTACAATATTGAATTAAAAATGTAACAAAATATGGTTTCTGGAGGTGATATGGTGGGCGTTCGAGAAGCATGCGGTGTTTATGATGACGATCGCTATTCTGATGATGAAATTGACCGATTGGCAGCTGGCGTAAATAGATTGGATTTCACGGTAAGTTTTATTTCGGCTTCGTGGTTCCTTGTCAAGACGTATTTTGTCCTACGATGTTGTCTTCAAGGTCTATTTCAATTCCTCTAGTCGACAGTTTTTGCAGAAGGTTTTGGTTTGTCCACCCGAGGAGTATACCGATGGAGTGTGCAGCATAGGATCTTGCCTTCTCGAATTCACAGCTCCAGAACAGTTGGAAGGCTTAAATGCTTACGAATGTGAGAAGTGCTGTGTTCCCCGAAACAAAAAGGTACTGTTACAAGGAAAATCCTCCAAGTTGTTTTGCTTTTCTTAAAAGTACTTTACGCTGTTAAGATGAAAGCGATCGGCAGCCAAAAGAAGCGTGTTTGTGCCCTGAAGCGTTACCTTATATATGAGCCACCGGCTGTGCTCACACTTCACCTAAAAAGATTCCAGCAATTAGAGGGAATGTGTGGTGAGCTGCTGTCTTTATCTAGAATCGCTTTATTTTTACTGTGGTCCAGTCGTAGCTCTAAATGTTTATTGTCTCAAAAGACCGCTGAGCCACGCCTCAGAAGGGTAGCAAATAGAGTCTTTGCTCCACTTCTGAGTGTGTCTTTGTAGCATCGATCTCATATGGTCCACTCTTTTTGAATTTGCAGATGGGTTTTTCAGATGCTGAAATTGTGATTATCCTTTACCTTTAAAAATTTTGACGTCCTGAAAATGTCGTCAAACGGACGTTCTAATCGTTCTTCATAGTTGCTTTTGAAGGAAAAACGTCAACGAGAAAGCTCAGTGGTCATGTTTCTTTTCCTATGATGTTCGATATGGCTCCGTTCTGTTGTAGAAATGTGGAGGTTGGAATTGTAATTTGTTTTTAATGGCTCTCGTAATCGTAACTATTATTGACGTTGCAGCGTCTGGCTCCTGGAGAGAAACGATTGCTTTACTCGTTATACGGTGTAGTTGTTCATTCTGGTAGTCTTTCTGGTGGTCACTACGTTGCATATGTAAAAAGTAGGCATAGATTGAAGCAGGTACGTGATGTTTTGTAGTTTTGTAATCATTGAACAATTGGGCTGCTGTTTTGCCTTGGCTCGTTACTGTTCCTCTCAGGAGAGCAAGCTTTTGAAACTTCCCTTTTGTCCCATTTTACTTTTGACCCCCTGCTCTGCACCTGGGTGACGAAATGTCGGTATTGACGCTCAAGCAAGAGACCTGCCAGTAAAGTGAAAAAAGTTGAAGTTACAAGAAATTAAGCCCTCTTTTTCAACAATTTCTACTCGTCGTTTTTCATAGTAATGGCGTAGCAGAGGGGCGCTTGGACGAATTCATGGTTGTTGACATTGGATGAATCCAATGATATCAGCTGTTATCAGCTGCTGTGCCCTTTCAGCGCTATTTTCCTCTCTGCGATTTCAGTCCCATGTTATCGTACTTGATTGAGAATCTTTGATGTGCCCTTTAAACCTGGGCAGGGACCACTTCGACGGGCTTGCGCTTTATCAGAAATAGAACTTTGACCCTCTGTTCCAACTCCCCCACCTAACTCACGGGACGGATTATTCCCCTCGTGGAATGGCCTTCAAACCTATGAATTCAGCCCGGTGATAAAGAAATTGTTTAGGCTCATGTGTTCCTGGAATTTGCACGAACTACATGTGCTGATAAATTATCGTACCAGAATGGAACTACAATCGATGACTTCTGTGATGAATCAGACTTGCATAATGAAGGACAATGGTACTATTGTAGTGATAGTCAAGTATTAGCTGTTAACGAAAACCGTGTTCTTTCTGCTGAAGCATACATTCTTTTCTATGAGCGGGTGCTATAGGTGATCTAGTCCGTATGATCGCGACTTTAGATATTGTCGTGCCCCTATTTCCGACCTCCCAAGGTTCGGGTGTCAATCGAAAGTCTTTGAGAGTGTGATATTGTTAGATGTTTTATTAGAAAACTTATTAATAAATATTATGACTTGTGATTTTTGAGTATTTCTTTGTGAGCTCACAAAAACTACAGCGGATGATCTCCGCTGAGCAATTTTTGCAGTACCGTTTACTTTTAGTACGGTTAAAATATAAAAGTAAGTCGCCAGCTTGCTGTAAATTTCAGGGGACGGTTTTTTCGGCAACGGTTAATATGGTGAATTAAGAGAGTTGTTTTGGTAGCTAGATAAGTGAGTCTGTTACGAAAACAGTTAATTACGCTGTTCCGGCGACAGGCTTCAAAATATTATTTAAAGTTGGAAGCTGAGTCACATATGACTCAAAGGGGAGCTGCACCTTAGCTGGCATTTCTCTGTGAACATTCCAGAGAAACTCAGCCCTGCAATTATCGAGTTTCTGTACCATCCACTCTCTGAGTTTGGGTTGTGGCTATTGGAACCGACAGATTCGTCGTATATCATGAACTACATACTCCTCAAGGTCTTTAGGGTAGCAATGCAGCACAGGAAGGTAGCAGGTTTTGAGAAATTCTTGTAGTTTGGGCCACGAACATAACTTCAATTAGGTGGCGTTAAAAGCGTGTTTGGTATACAGGCAAAGCATGTCGATGTTCGAATGAATCAATTTCCAGGAAAGTTCAGTAGCGCTCAGGTGATGTCCTATATAGGCGGTATTTCGGGCGCTCCTCTACTCTGGAAAGAGCATCACCACCATTGTTCCCCACTACTGACTGGGGTTCCAGCTCGTCATTGAAGGTCACTTCGGCGATCGGTAGAAAAACGTAGAACCTTTCCACATCGTTGAAGAACGACTTGGACAGTAAAAACTTCCTTTGGTCTTACTTTACGAAACCATCAGTGGAAAAAGAAGTTGGATCACCAGCAGAGATGGGCTCACCTATTTAACAAGCACATCGAACTGGTGCGTTAATTGCAGGTGAAGTGAAGGTGGGAAAAGATGAATTACGGTAGGGACTAGTATTTTTCAACTTCACTCTACAGCTGATTTCTTTCTCAAATAACCTTTCCAGT